ATAGAGGATGATTACTATTTCTGAGAGTTTCCTGTAATTGTATAAACAATAAGGTTGATATCATATCATCAGGAATAAATTCAGCAGTCTCAATGTATAAGATGATTCTCTCTGCATATTGAGAGCCAGTAACTATATTGAGAGGCTGTGTAAAATTCATAAGTACCATGAGAATGGCATACAACTCTGCCTTTTGTACAGAGTTGTAAGGGCTTTGAACTACTTTACTTATATTTCCTTATTTATAACCTGACTTTTCTGACTTGTTTGCATCAGTGTAGAATATAGGAACTCCAGAGATTGGCATTTTTTCTTATAATATGTGGGAGGATCCAGATTGTTTTCTTTATGAATTTGATTCTCTCTGTTTTGGGATAATTGTTACTAATGGTTCCCAAAAAGTTCCTGCAAGCCCTTTGCCAATATTCATTATCCTTCCATAAGGAGGAAATTTCTTCATTAGTTAAAGGTACTATAATCTCTGTTAAATCCCTTCCATTTAATTGACGAAGCCTTAATTTACCTTTAAAAAATCAAATCAGAGATCTTTTCTATATATATCTTCAGTTTTTTTATCCTGTTTATGTTTATGTGGCAGAAACATCCATTCTAGTATGATATCTTCCCTCTGCATCAAAATCCCCGAGGGGTATTCTCTAGATGGTAAAAATAACCAGAATGCAGTCTAGTTTTGGCTTCATATGGTCCACATGTGCTTCTAGTATTCTCTTTTCTACCCATTCTAATTATTTTTCAGCCTCAGCTGATAATATTTGTGGACTATTTAAGTCCCTATCTCCTTTTAGGGCCATTTTTAGGTGTTTTAAATCGTGCCTTTATACTCCAATAATTGTCTGCAGTTGAGAAATTTCTCCTAGTAATTTTTGAAGATCATTAAGGGTCTGGTAATGATCTCTCCTTATCTGTACTTCTTGCAGTCTAATTTTTATGTAGATCTATTTTATAACCCAAATAGTTAATAGAATCTCCTCTTTGTATTTTTTTTTTTTTTTGGGAAATCTGTAATCCCCAGCGAGTAAAATTTCCTTTACTGCCTCAAACATTTTTTTCAACGTTCCTTCTTTCAAATCAGCCACTAGTATGCCATCCATGTAATGGTAAATTATGGATTGTGGAAATTGTTAGCACATTATTTCCAAAGGTTTTTGCATAGAATACTGGCATGAAGTTGGGCTATTTAACATTCCCTGTGGCAAAACCTTCCATTGAAATATCCTAACTGGTTGAGAATTGTTACAGATAGGCACTGTGAAGGCAAAATTTTCCCTATCTTTTTCTTGTAAAGGTATAGTGAATAAGCAATCTTTTAGATAAATTACTGTAACTGGCCATCCTTTAGGTATCAGAGAAGGTAATGGCATCCCAGGATGTATAGAGACCATAGGTTGAATTACTTTATTGATGGCTCTCTGATCAGCAAGCATCCTCCATTTACCAGACCTATTTTTGATAACAAATACTGGTAGATTCTTCAATATGTACAACATTTAGCTGTTCCTGAACCAGCTTTTCTAAAGCCTCTAGCTTCTCAGAGGTCATAGACCCAGACAGGTCCATCTGTTAGCCATTTACAGGGTAGGGCTTTTGGTTCCTCTGTAGGTTTGGCACTCACATCTTGTTTCTGTACAACCTGTATGTTTGGCATCTGTTTTCTGTAGTGCCTTACAATATTTTTTTCTACTGCCAAGAGCTTGTTTATGATTCATATCTGATACTGGAGGAATGTTAATCTGGGTATTACATTGTTGCAATAGATCACAACCCCAGAGATTTATGTCTGCAACAATGGCCTCAGTCTTCCTTTTTGTCCTTCTGGCCCTATGTAGTCAACCCATCTCCTTCTTAGTTTTACTTGAGATGGGTTTCCAATCCCTAAGAACTGAACATAGGGGCCATCTGGAAGGCCAAGATTTTTGAGTTATGATGGTGACATCCGCGGTCTTGTTCACAAGGCCAATAGTGACTGTATTACTTATTTTAACTGGTAATTTGGGTCTGTGATCCTGTATAGAAGTTTGCCAAAATAATCGTATTTTTGTTTCCTCCAGTTACTAACCTTCAGTACTTTATCTATCATCCAGAACAGTATTATTCTTTACAATAGGCAGTGGATCTTCTAATCATCCTGAGAGAGATTGTCCTCCACAGTGACTGGGAATGACCAGACTGCTTTTGATATGGGGCCCTTCAAGAGGCCCTCCATGGATTTTCCGATTTTAAAGGGTTACCTTGTCTGTCTGTGGTTGACCTACATTCATTGGTTCAGTGGCCTTTGCCACATCTCCTACATAATCCAGGAGGCTGAGGCCTTGAATCATTTCTAGGAGTATCATTATCTCTAGGAATGCTTTGCCTACAATTTTTTTCAGATGTCCTATTCTGCCACAGTTAAAATATCTGGTATTTAGATGTCTTTTTATACTTCTGGAGATTGCTTCTCCTACCCAAGTTTCTATGACCTCACAGTTGAGGCATCTTGGTGTCTCTTCAGACCTTTAGGAATTGCCTCTCCTACCCAGGTTTCTGTATCTTGATCTTTATACCCAATATTAGCTGTATACAAGACCCATTTGTCCAATGGTGCTGATCTGATTTTTAATGGCCAAAGCACCTGTTTGCATTGTGGATTTGCATTCTCATAAGCTAAATATTCTATAAATATTCTTCTAGAATCTGAGTTAGTTACCTGTAATTCTACTGCTCTGGACAATGTTCCAGAAATTCAGTGAACCTTTCTCTTGGACCCTGTACCACCTTGGTAACAGGGTCTATGTTCTCTTCTGGTTCATGAAGCTTAATGAAACCATTCAGAGCTGCTGTACGGCACAAAGACAAGATGTGTTTGTCATACACAGCCTGAACCTGTGGATCAGTATAAGCACCCTCACCAAGAATCTTATCTTGGGGAGTTTCATAATGTTTCTTTAGGCCTTGAAGCTCGAGGGCCTTTGCTTCTTCCTTCCATAAAGCTCTCCATTGTATTTGAGAAGAATTTTCTAGCACTACTGTGGCCAAATGACTCCAATCCTTTGCCACCCAATTCAGTCTCACTCATGAATTCAGTTCTGAAATAAGGGGAGTGAATACCACAAGAAACAATGGCTTGTTTGATTCCCTTCAGGTCTCTCATCTGTATTGGTTCCCACTGGTAAGCAACAAAACCATTTGGATGCTTCTGCGTTGCTGGTTTTTCAGTCATAGATACTGGGAAGGCCATTAGAGATGGCATAGCATCCTTAGGACGATCTTCCCAGTGCCTGAGAGGTGTAGGTGAACCTCTGTCATGACCTGTTTCTAGTACTTCTGAACCTGTATATCAGATTGCAGTTTGTCTAAGACCTGCAGCCTATTGACCATTGTTTCTCTGAGTGCTTGAACCTCCTGGGTCAAAAATTTTTCTAAGAACTTCATAGAGTCTGTCAGCTTCTTGGATTCATCATTTATACATGATTTTAAGGATTTAATATTCTCATACTTATATATTATTTGAATGGTATGTAAGTAGCCTTCTAGGAAGAATATTCTGTCTGATAGCTGGTCATTATCCCAGACATGGAATGAATTGTTTCAGCAAGTTCACCAATCTGATGTTCCAGTCTTTGAGTTCTATTAATCGAGCCATTAGGCATGGAATGAGTTGTTTCTGTCAGCCTGATAATGTCCTCCTGAATGGATCTTATTTTAGCCATTAGGGCAATAATTTTAAATTCTAAGGTATCTACCTTGCTAGACATTTCCCTGTTGACCTCAAGATTTTGAATATTGACTCTAATTTTTAAATGATTTGCACAATTTCCTTGTTGTCCACCCTATTAAGGCATATCTTCCATGCTATTATTTGTATTATGAAGCTAATTGTTAGCATCAGACACAAATAAATACATTTGGAGCATGTCATAATTCTCCCCCAGGATGCCATTCATGAAATAAGCAATGAGATCCCTAATGGTCTGCATCATTAGATTATCTGCCATGTTATAGAGTAGCTAATCTTATCACCAGTTTCAAGTACCGAAATATTAACCTCCAATTAACACGGGTTGAGGAGAGGATTTTTATCTGCAGTTACTATGATTGGTCAGCAGGTGGCGCAGGTGTACTGCCAAACACAGCTCTGCTGCAAAAGCTCATTATTTCCCAAATAATATCTGAAAAATTCTAAAGAGCTTGTACAGAAAATTAGCTGGCAGGATTTTGCTAAAAGGGTGGTGGTGGTGGTAGAAAAAACCTGCACAGATTGTGGAAACCTGTGACTAGAAAACGAGCCACCTGTGGTAGGGCCATAGGGGCTGGAATCGCTCCAGAGTAGGAGCTTCAACAGTGGTGGAGAAACGGGGCAGCAGCTTAGGAGGGTTGTTCTTTTTTTTTTTTTTTTTTTTTTTTTTTTTGATCGCTTGTTCCGCAAGACCCTTGGGGACCGGGACTTTTTGGGATGACACGGCGAGAGTGTTGATGCGGTAAGACCTGGCCCCTTTCAATGGTCCCGCGGTGGCTCTGTGGTGGCAGATGGAGATGGGACCTGGAGCGGCAGATGAGTGGGGACGCATGAGCCACACTGATCAGGAGGACAGGAATGAGTTGGAAAACTCCCAGCAACCCAGGAGGGACTTCTGGGATGTGGCTGGGGCCCGCATTTGCCACAGTGGTGAGTGCTTACTTTACCGAGCTTGAGTGTCAGGGGGTTGGGTGAACTTATTTCCCCAAGTCCCGTGAATATCCCACTTCTAGGACACCAGGTGATGATGGTAAATGAGCCACGGCCAACGATACCGGGGAGGGGAATCATAAGATACTTTATTAGAGAGAGAGAAGTCACTTACATGAGAAGCTGAGAACCAATATCCGTGTTCTGTTCAACTCTGACCTTGATCACAGCCCCCAAAAGAGGGAGCGTCCTTTTCCTTTTCCTTTTATCTCTCCTCCCCCATCAGTGTTTCGGATACCTGAGATCTCTCCTACACTGTAATAAGTACCTAATACCTATTCTTATATTATTTCTCAGTAAAACTCTCATATGTTAGATAGAAACTGGACCGTTGGATTTACAGATTCTTTCTCAGTTGCTACTGCAGTTTCTATTGGTGATCAGTCAGGTCTAGTTATGAGTATATGAATGCACATTGCTGGTACATATGTGTTATTTAAGGGGAGAATGGAATGCTTTCCTCTCCCCCTTCCATGCTTTTTGACCTGTGTGCTGCATAGTTTTAATGTTAACTTGACACAGGCTAGGATCGTCTGGGAAGTGGGAACCACAGCTGAGAAAATACCTTTATCACATTGACCTATAGGTAAGTCTGTGAGGGCATTTTCTTGGTTAGATATGGGAGATCCCAGTCCACTTTGTGAAGTTCACCACAGGCAGGGCTCCTGGGTGCTCTAAGAGCAGGTTGAGCAAGCAATGAGATCAAGGTAGCCAGCAAAGTTCCTCCATATCCTGTACTTCAGGTACCTCGAAGTTCCTGCACTAACTTCCATTTCCTCTATAAATTAATTTTGGTCATGGTTTCTTTATCACAGAAACTGAAACTGTAACTAAGACAGTTAGAATGAAGATGGGTTAGGTAGAGTGGGGTAGATATCACCAAACAGGAGCACGTGTAGAACCTACAAAATGAGGTGGTGATATCCTAAGACAAAAAGAGACTGGGTTACTGTTGTGGAAACCCAGAATAATGCTGGGTTTCCTGTTGCCTATGTGGGAGAAAAAATATGTTTTTGAATGTATTCCACAGCAGAACCCAAAGGCACTAACTTGCGGAGAAGAAAATTTATTTGAAGAGGCAAAAGCTAGGAATTTGTACAATATTGGTATTAATTTGATGTCGATAGTTGGGTTTTCTTTTCTCTTTGAGATTATTATTATTATTATTATTTTAGTTAAACTGACCACTAAGTTACTTGGGATGAAGGTTTAGATGCTCTGCAATCTAACTGTCGATCACCTAGCAGACTGATATTGGCTTGCTGTATATTTCTTGAACACTCTAGTGTCTGGTACTTTTCATAAGCAATAAGTCATAAAATGCATTTCTAAACAAAATAGCTTGGTTCACTGTCACAGGAATGAACATAAATTCTTTCAAGTTCCAGATAAATGCCACATGAAGGTAAAGTATTTTAAGCAAGGAACAGTTATAAGCCAAGTTATGATGCTGTACAGCAATAGAGCAAATGACACTGGTCACTTTAATAATAGATATGCCTATGTTCTGTGTATATGAAAAATACTCTCCATGTGATGAACCATTTTAATTAAATTATTATACTACATTGAAAAGGATAATTCTAAAAAAGTAATATTTGAAACATTTATTTGAAAATAAATGCTACAAACATTTCAAATATATATGGAAGTAGACCCAGAATTTTCTCTGTTTCAGTGTCATTTTACTCTCAAATTATTTAAGGTTGAGAGATAAATTCTTTAAATAGGAGTCTTCATGAGTAGGGATCCTAAATCCCACATATTCATTCTTCTCCTCACATTTGCCTGGGCTCCCTCAAGGACCTTAGTGTAATACCCAGAGTCTGGCAGATACAGTTAGGTGCAGATGGGAGTTTCTGTTCTGCCTAGTCCTGTAGCCATTCAGTCCCAAATAAACACACAGAGACTTATATTAATTATAAACTGTTTGTCCTGTTGCTCAGGCTTATTACTAACAAACTCTTACAACTTAAATTAACCCATAATTCTTACCTATTGAAGGGCACACGAGCCAGTCAAAGATGGCGCTGAGGGGAAGTCAGGAGGGTGAGTTCTGAGATGTTTACAAAAAAAGATGATTGGTTGCCAAGATCCAACTAGATGAGGTCACTGTATGAACAGTTCATGCTCACTAGGTAAAGCATAGGGCACCTAGGCGTGTGATAGGCTGATCTTTAAAACCATTGGCTGGCTGCTTTCATGCCCCATGCTGTGGGGCAATAAATGAGTTCCTGTTTGACTAGACTCACTGCTGCATCTTATTGTCTCTGGGATTCTGGGAGGCTGGGGAATGGGGCAGTACATTTACCCTTCCTCGGACTCAGCTCAACCTTTCTGTGGTTGGGCTAAGACCTTGCAATCAATGTTTAGCCATGTGGCATGGTGCCTTTTCTCAGTGTGTAATTCTCATCTTGCATTCTCTGCATCTGGCTGGTGACTGTGTCTCTGCCTTTCCTCCTTCCAGAATTCTCTTAGTCTGATTGCCCTGCCTATACTTCCTTCCTGGGTACTGGACAGTCAGTGTTGTATTAAACCATTATGAGTGATAAAGCTTTACAATGAACAAGAACATTATCCCACATCAGTTAGGGAAATTTTTGCTTTCATTTGACATGAGAAATTCAGCCCAAATAGGAAGATAAGCTTTTTAGGTATGCTATGTGTAATAAGGACCCTCCACCATTTGTGAGTCTTGGAAAGTTCTATAGTGATATGGCCTAAGGTAAGACTTCACTTGGACAGTGCTTGTTGGGTTAGTCTTCAATTACCTTGCTGCCTTTATTGGAGATATCTTGTATGTGGGGAACAGAGGCAAGAGATGCAGGTGACAAGGGGAGGATATTTGTCAGGGTTCCTCCTCATCTAGAGTAATCTGATACAGTTCCTCTATTCATTTTTCACTACTCCCATCAAACTTGTCTTTAAATTTCTTATAAGTAATAACAACCATCAATCTCATATTGTAGCACTAGCACATATAAAAGAGGGACTTATCAATGAGGAAACCAGCAAGATTGAAATGGTCATGTTTGTCATATAAGGAGAAAAATACCGAAACAAGAATACACTATTGGCCATAAAATGTGAATTTTTTGTAGGACAAGTTCTTGAGGACAATCTTTCCTTTATTAAAGAACCTATATTAAACTGATGACCAGATTTCACATGGCTTGGAACTTTCTTTCAATACGGCATGTTCATCTTGCTTCCCCGTGTCTCCTGGTGACTCTACCCTTCTTTCATCCCAGAGAGCTCTCTCACTGTCCTTGCCATCTCGGCTTTTAGCAAGCCACACGCTCTGCATTTCCCACACACCTCATCAGAGCTGCTGATCTTCTTCCTGCACCTGGGCCCTGCACCTCAGATCTCTGAAGTATCCTCTTAGGAAAACTATTCATTCTAGAGTTGTTAAGAAGTCATATTGTAGTGGTCTGAATAAAAATGTCCTCCATAGTTCCATAGGGAGTGACACTATTAGGAGTATGGTCTTGTTGGAGTATGTGTGGCTGTCTTGGAGGAAGTGTGCCATTAGTGGATGGGCTTTGAGGTCTCAGTATCTTTCTGAGACCTGCTGGATTGGAATGCAGAACTCTCAGCTCCTTCTCCAGCACCGTGTCTTCCTGCATGCTGCCATGTTTTCTGACATGACAACAATGGACTAAACCTCTGAAGCTGTAAGTCAGCCTCAATTAAATGTTTTCCTTTATAAAAGTTGCCATGATTATGGTGTTTCTTCAGAGCAATAGAAACCCTAAGATATACATAAAACCCACCAAAAGTGTAGGTCACCACAATGGGTCCACTTGTTTATTGACCACATTCACATGTCAAGTATGCTTCCTATTAAAACAATTTATTGTCATTACTATCTCATCTCTCTGTCTCTGGGGTATGCACATGCACCATGGTATGTGTGTGGAGATCAAGGGATAATTTTTTGAAATCAGTTTTCTGTATCTACCTTTACATGGATTCTAGGACCCAACTCAGGTCTCCAGGCTTGCATTGTGGGTGGACAGCACCTTTATCCATGGAACGTCTTGTTGGACCCACCACACACATTTTTGAAAATGTGGATGTAGTCTCTAGGGTTTCCTGATGAAGACATCTGAGAATAGGCCTTGACTCTTCCATGGACCTCAGGTAGGGTATCCAAGACTGGGCCAGAGGACAGGTGAGGGTACAGGAAGTATGTAGCTTCGAAAGATTGCTTTGTGCTCTTCAACCAACAGCTTTCAGTATTGAGGAGAAATATCCTAAGTGGATCTCTATACGTATGCATGCATGCATGAGTGAACACACACACACACACACACACACACACACACACTTACACACTTACACACATATAATTAAAGAAATGCTACAATGGTGTTGTAAACAGATGTCATCTCAAGCATATGTCATTTCCTGCTTCTGTATAACTGGATCTAGTTTTAAAGGTCCAGAGCAAGAACAGGATCTTACCCAATCTACAACCCTTGTGATGCATCCAAGAAGTCCTTAAAGCACAAGGTGGTCAAGATAAGATGCACAGCACACCAGTTTCTTCAGGATAATTTGGATAATTCATAATTATCATAATAAAGCTGAGGCTTTGTGGGGTTAGAGGAAGACAGGTGTTGCATGAAGTTTGTAGGAAGCAACTGGACTTATTTACTATTGAGATTCTAGGAACCCAGAGACCTGAAATGCTCCCAATGGGCTTCAAGCCCTGGCTTCCTCTGTTGCTCTGATACTCCTATGTGGACTTCAGCATGGTCTGACGCTTAGTGGGAAAGGTTATAGAGAGGTCATTTTGTCCTCAGCCATCAGACTGGGAGAAAGAAGAAAGCGAATGGTCAGGTGAAAGTATAAAGGAGAGGATGGGAAGTAATGCCTCCCCTTAATTTATGTCATTGACCAGAGGCATAGAATCAGGCTTTATCACCTCACAGTATCTGTAGGGGAAACAATCGCCAGAAGATGCCAATATCTACAAATGCTCACAATCTTTATAAAAAATGGTGTAGTATCTGCATAAAGCCTACAATATCCACCAGAATACTTTAAATCACCCATGGATTACTTATCACATCTAAAGCAATATAAATAGCATATCAATAGTAGTTATATAATATTCTTTAGCAATAGATAAAAAGTCTGTATACTTGGTATAAGCACAATTTTGGGAGACATTTGATCCTATGTTGGTTGATTTGTCAGATGATGCTGAATCAACACAAACAGTGCTGACTGGGATTTTAAAAATGTGGGGGGAGGGGAAAGGGAGTTAGGAGAAAGAGAAGGGGAGAAGAGGAGGGGAGAGGAGGACATGAGGGACCAGGAAGACTGAGACTGAGAAGAATAGAGGAGAGCAAAAAAAAAAGATATACCATAATAGAGGGAGCCATTATAGGTTTAAAGAGAAACCTAGTACTAGGGAAATTTCCAGAGATCTGCAAGGATGACCCCAACTAAGAATCTAAGCAATAGTGGAGAGGTTACCGTAAATGCCCTTCTCCTATAATTGTTGGGGTACCCCGAATTGAGGAGGGGTCCCCAAGCCGGATTCGTCACCCCAAGAATCAAGAGTCCACGCGCCAATTGATGCAACACGCAAGAGGCTTTAATTAGGCATCTGCAGATGGGCCTCTCGGTCATCTTTTAGACCGATTGGCCCCGAGGTTCAATTACAATCAGCTTTCAAAGACAAAAACCACAAGCTTTTGGGAGGGGTCCTTATCTCGTGACGGGGGAAGGGGGGTACGTGACTCCTGTCCTGGGGAAGTAGATGTCCTTCATATCAAACCTTGGCATGAGTTAATTATCTCTCCCTAAGTAAATAGTGTTATCTCCTTGTTTCCCACTAGTCTTGTTTGCCCATCTCTGACGCCCTGGTCAGTTCTTCACAGATGGCAGCCCATAATTGGCCTTTTGTGGATTTACAGCCCTTCTGCAATTAAGGTCTCTAAACCATACATTCCATTCTGTGGTATGGCCGGTTCCTGGGATGGGGTCCTTTGTTCACTTCCCAAGTTCTCTAGTGGGGTGCCCTCCCTGTTTAAGCTTATATTTTATTTCTACAAATTCGGGGTCTTACATAATGAGATTGATAATTACCTTATATGCCATCCTAGAGCCTTCATCCAGTAGCTGATGGAAGCAGAAGCAGACACTCACAGAAAAACATTGAGCTGAATTCCTGGAATCCAGTTGCAGAGAGGGAGGAGTGATGAGCAAAGGGGTCAAGACCAGTCTGATGAAACCCACAGAAACAGCTGACCTGAACAAGGGGGAGCTCATGAACCCCAGACTGAGAGCTGGGAAACCAGCATAGGACCGACCCAAACCCCCTGATCATGGTGTCAGTTAGGAGGCCTGCACAATCTATGGGGCCTCTGGTAGTGAATCATTATTTATCCCTAGTGTAAGAATGGAATTTGGGAGCCCATTCTGCATAGAGGGATACTCTGTCAGCCTAGACACATGGGAGAGGTCCTAGGCCCTGCCCCAAATAACTTGACAGACTTTGATGATCCCTCATGGAATGCCTCACCCTCTCTGGGGAGCAGAATAAGGATGGGATTGGGGGTCAATGGGGAGCATGGGAGGGAGAGGGAACTGGGATTGATATGTAAAATAAGATTGTTTGTAATTTAAATAAAAATGATTTTAAGACATTTATTGTTTTTATATGTATATGCCTGGGCGTATGCATGTGTACTGGTGTGTGCAGGAGCCGTCAGAACCCAGAGGAGAGTGTGAAATTCCCTGGAATTGAAGTTACAGAAGGTTGTGAGTGGGTGCTGGGAACTGAATTTGGGTCTTCTGAAAAGGGAACCACCAGTCTTAAATGCGGAGCCACCCCTTATTGTACTTATTTTTAACATACAACAAATAAACTTGTCCCCCTTTCCAGTGGAGAAACCCAACTTCCCTGTGACCTATCAGCATCCGTCAGGTCACAGGACTGTCTGCTTTTGTGACCACTAGTCCCTGAGATTTCTTCCTGCTGATGAATGCTGTTTGATCTGTTCAGTTGTTTTTAGTGTTTCCTGTGCTCAGAGCCTTCTACAAATGTGAAACAGCCCCTTTCTCTGAGTTTCTCTGAGCACAAGGCAACAATTTTGTCTTTGCTAAAAGTTGAACTTAATTCCAGTACAAAACCGGCTTCATCAGTGTCTATTAACCAGTCCCTGGGAAGCTGGTGAACACAGACCTTCACAGTTTCCTTAGATCTTTAGTCTCTTTGGCCTGCCTCTCTATGGCACTCTACTCCCTTGTTTAACATTGTTCTGAATTTGCTCATCAGTACATGCCTACTTAGTTTCTAATGTGTGTCAGATTTGGGTATAATCACCATCCATTTCTTGAAATAGCCCAGTTCTCATTCTTCCCATCACCCAGGGGAACTTGAACTTTCTCACCTAGGTACACAGAGCTGGCCAAGCCGCCATGTATGTTAAGGAAAAGAACTGCAACAGACCAGCTCTCAGTTAAGTACAAGTCCTTTAAGTAGACAGAACTCTTTATTCTATAACTGGCTGACCCTCTGGAGAAAATAAACTGAATTTTGATTTTTTTCTCTGCTGATTTATGCAGTTGACAAGATGCCCACTGCAAATATCAAATCAGACTGAAGAAATGCAATTTTTCCTTTTCTGCTGTTTCCCTTGATCTTTTGTGGGCATTATTTAGAGAGCCAGTTCTTCTAAAGGAACTCCCATTAAACCTGCAGTTATATCACTCTAATGGGCACATTCACATTTGCTTAAGTGGGTTTTTTATTGTTTCTTTTAACCTCACTTCACCTTTCCTTTTTATATTATGCAAAGTTCACTGAATAATTCCTTAAACACAAACCATATGCATCTGGATAAATTATGCTATTTCTTAGAAAATTGGATGTCTACAGCAATTAATTTGGTTATAAATTATTGTCTAATAAGAATGATGCTTTTGGTTATTTGTTTGAGGTGAGACAGGGGAGAGGAAGGGCCCTTCCTAAAGAGTGAGGCCATTCCCTGGGCAAAAACTAAAGTTCCTGCTGGTTCTGACACATGAAGTCTCAGCCTCTGGTAAACTCTCTGGCTCTCCTGTGTGCCCGCAGACCTGAACTATCACCTCCCAACTTAGTGCATATTCCCAGATTTCTGGCTGATGCCACGTAGAGACCAGAGCAGCTGACCTACGAGCTGAGTTTGTGTGGGACTGTGCCATTGATATGTTCCTGGGATTTGAGATGGGGACAGATCTTGCTATGAGAACAGGCTAGGATCAGGGAGTCAGAATCAAGGCAAGGCACTTAGAGCTTTTTGCAAGCTGGCAGGAGACCAAACAAGTTCCAGTGAGACACAGCATAGTCTGTGGGTCCTGACAGAGAACTGATCTTAGTCGGTTTGATGAACTGTGTGTCTTGACTCTTGTTTTTTAATTCTACATTTATTCTCCATAAATAAAGTTGTATATAACATTCCAGAATACTTCTGCTGGCCAAAAAGTATTAAGCAAAGTTTGTTTTCCATACAAGAGCTAGGAAAACTTCAAGGGCAATTATGAGGTACCATGGTAGTGATATTCTCCAGAAGAAGCATAGGGTTAAACTCTACTACCTGGCTAGCTCCCCTCTCTCTTACAGCACAAAGCTCTTAGCATTTATAAGTTTAGAGCTAAAAAGAAAGGAGAGTTGCCAAATTTAAGACCTAATTCCCAGTTTTCAAAAAGGGTCAAGGATGTGGCAATAAAACCAGCCTTGTTTGAGTAGTACTTCTGGGTGAGACATGTAAGTGTTGCATAAGGACCACATGATGGGGTGCTGTCTGATGGAGGTGTGCATGATTCTGGATGCTACTGTATGCATGGTACAGCTAACCAGAGCTTCCCAGCCCATTGAATAGAGCTATCCTATACCATTCATCCTACTTCATCTTAGAATGTTTCCTAAGTTTCCAGTGGAAGACACTTAGAAGTGTTTTCTATCATTGGTATGTCAGGTGCATGGAAAACATCCTGTCATGTGACAGGCTCATCTCTGGTCTCTGGATGACTTGCAGGAACATTTCTTCTGAGTGCCTGAGAGAAACTGGGCTCTTACTGCTCTGTTCTTGCCTTTGTCTTCTTCATCTCTATAATTCCCATGGTGCTAAGCACACAAAAGGCACTGTCAGAGAAACACACCTGCTGCATAATTGTTAAAGGAGTGAAGAAATGCAATACAGATATATATTTTCAATTTCTTCCTCTAGGGACAAAGGAAAAGCTCTCTTATCTCAGAGAAAAGTCTCTTCCTTCAAAGTGGACAGAGACTATGGCACAAAGCAGAGTTGAGTACTGAGCATATTCTTGTACTACTTCCTGGCTGTATGTAGGTTCTACTTTTTGATTAAATCCTGGGGATCTCCATCCAACTTCAGGAATACTTTTTGAAGAGGAAGGCTAATGTTTATTAGGTAATGAGATTTAGACTAGAACTAGGTACTGGGTGGAAGTGGGTGTGGGGGGATTGTCAGCATGGGGTTCCTGATAGAAATGTCATGATGACCAAGAAACTAAAGTCCTGGTGTCTACCTAGAGCCTTCACCCCTACTGACTATTGCTCATGGTACTGGAAGGTACTCTGCATGCTACAAGAGGATAAAGGCAAATTCCAAGCCAGCTGCAAACCCTTTGATCTGCAATGGTGTCCTTCTTTCAAGATACAGTGGTGCAATAATAGTAGCACAGAGCTTGTGGGAGTAACCAACTAATATCTGATTGGACTTAATCCCCTCCCATTGAGATGGAACCCATATGACACTGCTCTGGTGCCCAGAACCTGAGAATACATGGGCCTTGGACCTAGAGAACCAAATACTAATATTATGCTAAAGGAACATGGTAAAGATGACTCCTAATGCGATTATTCTAAACTTATATATCAATAACTTGCTCAGCCATCACCAAAGAAACCTTTTTCTGCAGTAGATGGGGAGGGGGTAAGAGAGCCACAAATGGACAACGTGCAGAATGTGAGAGACATTAGAAGACTCAGTTCTAAATGGTATGTCAATATCTGATCCTTCCCCTCACAGCTCAGAGAACTCTACGGAAGAAGAGGCAGAAAATTTTAAGAGCTGGTGGCAGTGGAGAACATCAAGGAAACAAGGTCTTCTAAACACAGCAGAACCTTTGCACACATGAACTCAGAAACTGTGGCAGTATGAACATGGCCTGCACAGGCTGAAGCCAGATAGTGCCCCAGTGTCCAGAGCAGAAAACATTATAACCCCCATTCCTAACGCAGAAGCAATTTCCAACTGATAACTGCTCACAAATTAAAAATTAAATTTCTCCAGTAGAGTCTTGCTGGGTATATAAATCACTATTAATGAATGCCTCTTGCCCATCAGTAGATGGACAATGTAAAATGAACTGGATGGTATTTTTGGAGGTTCTTTATCTTACAGTGCTTTGTCTGGGCATTCTTTTCCTTTTTCTTTTTTTTTTCCTTTCACAGGTCTTTTGTATATATATGTTTCCAACACTGCGTTTTTATGGGATTTCTGCATGTGAGAACTTGTGTGTCTCTGTGTCTAAATGTGTCTCTTGTTGTGGCTCTTTTCTTCTGTTTGTTTCATCCTATTCCACTTGTTTTTTTTTTTTTTTACTTTATTGTATTAGTCAGGGTTCTCTAGAATTACAAAACTTTATATATATATATTCCAACTAATCCAAGAATGGTTAGCTGTCATCAGAAAGTCCAAGAATCTGGTAGTTACTCAGTCCCACAAGGCTGTGTGTCTCAACTGGTCTTCTGTATACGCTGGAATTCTGAAGAAGTAGGCTCCAATGCCAGTGCAGGAATGGACATGCTAGCCAGGCAAGGGCAAGCAGGCAGAAGGCAAAACCTTCCTTCTTGTATGTCCTTACACTGGCTTTTAGGTTAAAGGTTTGTCTCCCCACCTCAAGATCCAAATCAGAGACATGTCTTTCTGTGTCAAAGTGGCAGACTAGAAGTGGATCCATCCACTTTGAACCAAGCAGAAAATGTCTTACAGGCAGGCCATTCTTATCTGGATTGCAGTTCATTTAAGATATAATCAAGTTGATGACCAACAATAGCCATCACTTTTCTTACTTGTTGCACCCTTCCCCCATGGGGGTCTGTTGACCGCTTGTTACTAGGAGCTCTTAGCAAAACACTTCTAGTCCCCTCCTC